GTGGGATTCGAACCCGCGACGTAAGGATCAACTCCTTACTTCGCGACTCTAGAGCAGACGCTCTAACCACTGCATCACGCGGGCGACACTTGGGTATTAAAAATCGAAAAAGGCAATAAAATATTTTCTTGTATATCAAACTTTTTATGATTTTAGTGATGATCGGTTGGAAGTATAGTGTACTTTATAAAAAATGAAAGAAAAGGTTTGGGCCAGTGATGTATATTCTGAGATATTGGTCAAAATATGCAATTTTCAGGCAAAAACCAGTATATCTTGACTTCTTCAATATATCTTCGTTTCTTGACAAAGCCTGTTTAGTAAATGTGTAAAACTTTGTTCTAAAAATATTAAATGATACTTACGAGGGTTGTCCATAAAGTTCGTGGACAATGACGTTTTTGTCAAAATGAATGGTCCTCTCCTCTGAGTACGATCAATTTTTAAAGCGAGGCAGGCTACTCACTGATAAGTTGATGTTAAAGGGATTTCAATAGCCTCGTTTAGCGTCAGCATTTCGTAAATTTTATGGTCGTTATAATTGTTATAATGACCTTGTTAGCAAATATAGCCTATCATTGGGTCGTAATTTTGCTGACTTGTTTCATACCAATTGTTAAGTCTTTGTTTTTGTACTGAATTGACTACGGATAGTTCCGTCTACTTGATCAATACATAGGACACACGGCGGGTGTGTCCGGTCAACATGGGATACTTACTCCTCCTAGGCACCTGATCCCACCTCTGGAATTTCCAAGGGTCCTTGTTTTATGCCCTCTTCACATATTTGTATTGTTTGTGGATTTTTGAGATCGATCACTGTTCGTTATCTTTACCTTTTACATATACTTACTGTATACCAAAATATTTGTTACGAAAATCCAAATTCGAGAAGTTTGGTTATGATAGTTTGAACATAATAATTTTGCAAAAATCGCGGTCGTTAAAGATCGAAGATAGTGCCACCGTCCAGGGTTAAAATATATCTTAATTCTTTGACAATTGCGTGATATCTGTTACTCTGCATCAAATTAATAGCACGTAAAAGATCGTTTTTCTGGTTTTCGAAAGAGTAGGCTCACTGGGGGCCGCCAGAGAAACCCAAAACTTTCAAAACTGGCTACATGATATATCTTTTCATCGCCGATATAGGGCTGAAATAGTGCCGATTGGGCGTAAAACATTAATCAATCAATCAATCAAATAAATAAATAACGTACATCATGTGTTTATAACTCCACAAATATAAATTCTACTGACACCTAACAATTTGCTTCCATCTGTTGCTGCATTCGTTACGTTTCTGTAGACAACATGCATTACACGTCTATCTACTCCATATCCTTTTCTCATGGATTATATAATCACTAAAGATCTGTAACTGTCTTCAAAGTGGAAGAGTTGTTTTGAATTTAAAAAAATTAACTACATTGTTTTCCTTTGATAACATAATGTTTACATCATCACCTCTATTTTATAGTGATAATCTTTCTGTAATTTCTGATTATAAAATTTAAGTAAACTGTATTGATTTATTGTTAATTATTGGTATTTTTGCGCACCTGGGAGGGCAATTACACACACTGAGCATATACAACTGTATGTGGATCCTTTGAAATTCCATAGAAAGAGCATATAAGATACTAATTGTACATATAATATATAATATTGAGAAATTAGATATTTTGCCGTGAATTTCTCTTGTTCTTAATCATTGAACACATTGGGACTAATTCATAAATATTTTTATTTACATTTTGCATAACATGTTAGGATAGTTTAGCCCAGTCCTTGGGGTCGGTGAAAAAAAATTGAGATTTTGTTCTTTCACTCAGCATATATGTTAAAAATGAGTCGTTCCTTGGAATTCCCCAGATGAAATTCCAATGGTTTATTGTAAAATTGATGCAGTATTTACATAAACATATGATTCTGGATTCTCTGATTATTAATCTGCGATACTATCTTTTTGTTTACTGTTACTCGAAACATTCAGAGTGAAATACGGTGTGAAGACGAAACAAGAGGCCCATGGGCCACAACGCTCACCTGAGTCAATATGGCCCTGCTGTTCTTCGTCAGATTTCTTCTCCTATATATTCATATGTAAAGCTTTGATTACCTGTTCTAGGTATATCCTACCCCCAAGTGCCATGTTTTGAATGAAATTGAATCTTAACTTTCTGAGGATGCTTCTATATTCATATAGCTAATCATGGCTTTGTTGTTCTTAAAAACGGAATTTTGAAGATGTCTGTCACCCTACCCTGGGGAGGGGGGGGGGGTTCATGATTTGAACAAATTTGAATCTACACTACCTGAGGATGCTTCCATATCAATATGACTAATCATGGCTTTGTTGTTCTTGAGAAGAAGATTTTTAAAGATTTTTCGATATTTTCCACATATGATCTTTTGTAAAACTTTGATCCCCCAATTATGACCCGACCTACTACTGGAGGATGCCTTGAACAAACTTGAATCTACAATACTTGGGGATGCTTCCATATCAATATGACTAATCATGGCTTTCCTGTTCTTGAAAAGATTTTTAAAAAATTTTCCTATATATTCCTATGTAAAACTTTGATCCCCCATTGTGGCCCCACCCTACCCCCGGAGGTCATAATTTGAACAAATTTGAATCTACACTACCGGAGGATGACTCCATATCAATATGACTAATTGTGGCTTCATTGTTCTTGAGAAGAAGATTTTTAAAGAATTTTCCTATATATTCCTATGCAAAACTTTGATCCCCCATTGTGGCACCACCCTACCTCCGGGGGTCCTGATTTGAACAAACTTGAATCTACACTATGTAATGAAGGTTTCTGATAAGTTTCAACTTTTCTGGCCCAATGGTTCTTGAAAAGAAGATTTTTACAAATTTTCACCAATTCTTAATTATTTCCCCTTGGAAGGGGGAATTAACTTGAACCCCCTTTGCCCAAGGATGGTTCGTGGCAAGTTTGGTTGAATTGGCCCAGTGGTTCTGGAGAAGAAGTCGAAAATGTGAAAAGTTTACAGACAGACGGACTACAGACAAAATGTGATCAGAAAAGCTCACTTGAGCTTTCAGCTCAGGTTAGCTAAAGATGTAGAGACCCCCGGTCATTATTCGATGTCAGAAAAGACCTTTTTGCATGTAGAAAAAGTGGCATCACCTTGAAATCTGCATGTATTACGTGAAAAAAAAACGACAACGTAGAATAATGACCCTTTGTAGATTTTGATAGGAATATACATGTATTTTGGGTTAAAAAGATTAAGAATTATAAATTTAAAAAAATGCTCACCTGAGGTATACGTAAATGAGGATACGGGGAGATATGTTGGTCTCATGAAATCTTTCAAATAAAATGAACTGTATTTTATGATAAATTCACAACATTAATTGACTTCACTCTACACAATGTGGACATTTTGATTTGACAAATGTATCAATGTTTTTAAAGGTGCTGAGACACAGATTTGAAGTTAATATTTACTCAAATTTTCTGTATAATTTCATGACATATATGTTGCTAAAGCATTTCATACTAAAATATAATAAAAATCTTATTTCATCTCTATGTTATTAAAACTTCGAATTTCTGGACGCGTTGGATTGACACTTCCTTGCGCTTTCACATATTTTATTTTTATTGTTAATACTTAAGAAAAGTGGCAATTTTGTTGTTTATTAATGAAAATTATTAAAAATATAATGCAGAAATTTCAGAGTAGAAATGTAGAAAGCAAAATCCTCTCACCACTATTGTCAGTCCGTGCTCAGTGGTGTGTGCAGAGTTTAACAATTGAACACACCCGGTGAAACGTAAACATTAACAACAACAGAGCTCGTGCCCTGTTTACAAAACAGTTTACGTTTCCACGGTGTATTCCATTTGTTAAACTCTGTACACAACTACACAACACTGAGCACGGGCTTACAATACTTAAGTGAGTAGGTTTTGCTTTAGCACATTTTTACTCTGAATTTTCTAGATTATAGATGTAATATTATTCATTAACATTCTTCATGAAGGGAAGGAAAATCATACGTTTTGCCGCACTTCTGATATTCTTACACTGTAATGTGGCCCCATCAAACTCCAGAGAATTATTTGAATAAATATGAGTCTGCGCTACATGATGATGCTTGCGTATTAATATCACTAATCATGGCCCTATTGTTCTTGAAAAGAGGCATTTTCAACGGTTTTTCCCCCTACAAATTCTCATGTAAACCTTGTTACCCTAATGTGGCCTCATCCTTACCCCATAGTAACAGGATTGTAACACATTTGAAACTGCAACACCTCTACATGCCTTCATGTTCTTGTGAAGAGGATTCTAAAACATTTTCCCATTATATTCCAAACGTTAAATTTTGATCTCCTGTTATAGCCTCAACCTATCATATACATTATCAAAGGATACTTACATACTAATATCAGTTTACATGATCCTGCTGTTTTTGAAAAAAAAAATTAAAGATCTTTTAATATATTGTCTCATGTAAAATATTGATCCCCTTATGTATTCCTACCCTACCCTGGGATCATGACTTGAAAAAACCTGAATCTATACTATATGAGCATGCTTCCATAATACTATTATGACTAATCATGGCTTAGCTGTTCATGAGATGAAGATTTGTACAGATTTAAACGAACTTGAATTTACAGCTATCACTTTTGATGTTTTTCCCTTGATTATCCTCTTCCAAGAGATTGTTGCCTTTTATTTGAACAAATTTGAATTCCTTTCACACAAGGATGCTTAGTGCCGAGCTAAGATGAAATTGACCAGTGGTCCTGGAGAAGCAATCGTCAAAATGTGAAAAGTTTACAACGACGACAGCAAACAATGGAAAAAAAGCTCATACATGTATGCGTCTTTGGCTCTGGTGAGCTGAAACGACTGGAAAGCAGATAATGCAATCGCCAATTTAGGTAATGTAAAATTAAGACCTCTTGTAGATAACTTTATTTTACAAAAATATAATTTCGAGGTACTTGCAATTTCAAATAGCTTTAAAAGTATATTCTTATTTGTTTATGCATTGTAAATTATACACTTAACCTCATAACCATAACCATAAACTGAGAGCAGACGTAAGTCAGAATTTTGATTTTGAATACTGTAGGTTAAATAAAAGAAATTGCAGGTTTGTATAATATTCAAATATAAGCACACAGAAGTTACATGTAAATTAATTTGAAATTCTGACAAGTCTGTTTTCAGTTTATAGCCTTGAGGCCTAATCACAATCCCATTTTATTTCCAGTTTGGATAGCTATATGAGTTGTGTATAATGTGATTTTTCAAGTAAACATGATTTCTGCAAAGCCGTGCATGTAAAAAGTTTTCTGTTTAGGTAATCTTTTTTGATAATGCAATTTCAAAGGAAATCAAACGTTGCAGTGACTTCTTCCCCAGTATGCATTTTGGAGGTAACCTTTATTTCAGTTCCGGCAATTTCCATTTTTGTACTGATATAAACCCTCTCAGGCCAAACACCATCATTACACTTAACCTCAATCACACCAAGCTGGCGACATCCCACATCATCTATATACATAGGAGACTCTCTATCGGATACAAATACACGTAAACGCAGGGGTCTGTAGCGACCCAGCTTTCTAAATTCATCAACAAACGACATACTGCTACTTATTTCTTTCACCTCTCCAAGTGAAACTATTTGTCCTACAGTAAAGAACTTCTGGAAAACGTCACTGCAATAGCATTCTCCTTCAATAATAGTTAATTTTGATTCTGGATGCATGGATTTGTCGAAAGGTTCGCAAATATCTTCACCGTACGTATATCGACATATTCGAGAACAAATCACATCGGGGTCGTGGCCATAGAGAACTGCACCCTTGACAACAGCTAATCCTGCATCCAATGGAATGATAAACTTCCTTTCAGGAAAAGCGTTTTTCATGGCAAAGTTGACAATGGTACTATCGGCGAATCCCCCGACCATTACTATGCCAGTCAGATCTCTGCAGCATTTGTCATCAAAAATATCTCCTATGTGAGAAATGATGTCATCCACTGATTTCTGAAAAAATGACCTAAATAAGGAATGTTCAATACTTAGTTTGTCTCCGACGAAAGAAACGGCACTGTTATGCGGAGAAGCTTTAATCCTGTCTTGTAATGTAGTGCCATAATTTTCCCATAGAACATCCACAAAGCCTACAGGAACTTTAAGGACAACTCTCAAAGTAGAATCAACATCGATGGTCCTCTTTTTAAATTCAAATGTCCGTAAGAACTCTAAATACTCCGACCTGCATTCGTGTTTCAAGCTTTTTACGACTTCAGACCCTAGTAAGTCATTGATGAAATGGAGGAAGCATTTATCTACATGGGTTCCTCCCCAGTTTCCACCACACACCTTGTAAATTGTTTTCATTTTTCCATCCTCTGTTGTTTCTTGAACCGCAATATCTACTGTCCCACCTGCAAAAAGCAAGGAAACTACGGCTTTACAGAATAAGTGCAAAATTCAATTCAAAAATAAATACCATTGATAAACATGTTTAAAAAGAACAACACCATGCAAATAATTTTGTTGCTAATGTCTGTTAATAATCATCTTTATAGACTCAAATCAAAACACTAAATATCAGAATACAGATTTTGCTGTAAAATCTAAATTTCATCATTTGTCTTCTTTTATTTGCTTAACTAAATTCTATCTAGAGTTGTTACGTCCACTCCAATACACCTCTGTCAACATCGGAGAATTTACAACAATCTTAAATCTTTCAGACACCAATTTTTTACATTTAAATCAATATTTTAGTAATTTATATCATGTTAGAGATAAAAGAATATTTTTTCTGCGAAAGACTCTAAGTGAACATCTTGTAACTTCACTAATGTCTTATCATAACCTGCAGGTGTTCTATTATTGGGTAATCTGGATCGATTTAGTGATATTACTTAAACTATTCACAAGTGTGTGTGAGTGACACGAAATTGTGCTTATCACTAGTGTTAACGTCTGGACACAAATTCTATCAACGATTGATGCCAAATTCTTCGTATTTTAAAGTACAATGTGGATCTCAAATACAAATGCAAATAAATAATACAAATAAAGAGATTCACTGTGTTTGGGATTCTGAACTTCGAAGGGAAAATGGTGAAAATCATGACAATCTGACGATCATGACTAGGAGCACACGGCGGATGTGACCGATCGACAGGAGATACCAACTCCTCCATGGCACCTGATCCCACCTTTGACGTTTAAAAGGTCCGTGTTTGCTCTGCCCCCAATATGTTTTGTTTCAATGGACTTTTGAGCTTGATTATTGTTCGTTATCTTCATATAGCGAGCTAAAACAAAAAACTTTACACTTCTAAATCTTTACCTGATTACCTAATGATATAATACAATAAAAGCATGGATTATTTTCTGCATTTTATGTTATACTCAGTAACAATCTACAGTGTACAATGAAAAAAGAGGTTTAGAATTGATATATTAAACAAAGGGGAGGTAAACACGTTCACGTACCAGTTCTTTACAGACAAATTTTACAAAATATTGTAAAGGTATCCTATTTAGTGTGGTTGTTAATCTGAAAGACTAACTAAATTTAACCTTTATCAGGCTTTAATAAGAGAACAATTTCTGGACTCTCCGATTTGCTGTTGACACTGAAGACAAAGAAAAAATGGTTATAAACCGACATAGTCCCTTCGATACAATGAACAAAATCTCAGAGCACTTTTGATCATCAGAATACTTCTTTTCAATCACATTTTATTCCAGTGAAGAAATTAAAGTGTTATGATAAACATATAAAAGATTTATTTCACCAGTAGCTTCTACATGTGCGAAAAGTGTATTGTTTTTGCAACTTTATCTAATGTATATAAATACAGTATATTAACAAATCACAAGAAGTCAAACTTGGCGATTGTTTTATCGCCAGTACTCATTTTTGCCGACACTTGTATTTCCGTTCCTCCAATCTCCATTTCTATTGTACAGGTGAACTCCTCAGGCCACTTTTTCTTTGCGCATTCCACAGTTATTTCTCCTAAAACACGGCATCCAACATCATAAATAAATCCAGGGTTTCTCCTATTCGAGACGTATACCTTAATTTTTAACGGTTTTTCACGCTGATACTGCCTTCCTTTATCTCGAAAGTCATAGTCTGTGGTGAAAGTTCGCTTATCACCGAGGGATACTTTTTCACCCTTTTCAAAGAACTTTTGAAAAATATTTTTGCAATACTTTTCTTTGTTAAATACAGTCAGATTACTGTAAGGATGCTCTCCTTCGATGAAAGGTTTACAAATATCATCCCCATATGTATAGCGACAGATTCGTGAACAAATAACATCAGGATTGTGCCCATATAGAACGGCTCCTTTGGCAACAGCAAGACCAGCTTCCATGGGAACAATGATACGTTTCCCTGGAAATGATTTCTTAAGTTTATCAATCACCATAGGACTTTCAGCATAGCCACCCACTACCACAATTCCAAGCAGTCCTTCACAGCTTGAGCTCTGTAAAATGTCTTGAAGGTGAGTTATTATGTCATTTAATGAATTTCTGAAAAATGTTCGGAAGAAACTGATATTAATGTTCATTTTATCACTCGAACAGGTCAATGAGGTCTTATAAGGAGACTGTTTAACAATTTCAGAAATTTTGCATTCTGTTTTTTCTTCGAGAATTTCAAATAAAGGTGGTGGAATTCGTATTTGAACCGGATGATTTGAGTGAGAATCAACTTTTCTTTTCTTTACTTCTAAAGTGCGCATTAGTTCCAGATAATCGGATCGGCAATCGTCTTTTAATTCATTTAGAACCTCTGCCCCCACTAGTTTAATCAGGAATTTGAGGAATTCTTCATCAACCCTGGTCCCTCCCCAAGGTCCACCGCACACCTCGGAAATTGACTTCACCTCTCCATTTTGTGTTGTTTCCTGAGCCGTAATATCCACAGTTCCTCCTGAAACAAAACTCTAAACTGCACCTGTATACAATTCCAGCGAGACAAATCGCGACAACACAATATAGCACGGTGATAAATTTGTTGGATAACCATTAAGCGTAAATTTGCAAATCCGCCTTTAATATTTTGTTGCATTTAATTAAATCATTAATTATATATACATGTAATCAATTAAAAATATAAGAATATAAAACTAAAGAGGCAAGATGACGCAAAAACATGAAAATTGAAAAAAAAAAATAGAATTTTTTCATGGCTTATGCAAATTTTGTTCAATTCTCTAAAGAAGATTTCATAAAATTGCAGGTTTCGGGACCTAAAAAAATCTACTTTAACGGTGAACTCAATATTGTATGGCCAGCACGAAATTAATGCGTTATTCCTCCCTCCTGATTATTCATGTGCACAGAAAACATAAGTCATTATGGCCTGAAGTCTCTAAAAGTGGAATGATGATTGACCATGGATTTTGACGAGATCTGCAATTCACTCGATAGAATGTACTCAGATACCCGAGAAGTAAATATATAACGTGAAAATTTTACTGCTTTTTGGTTATCTTAATCGTTGTATTGATTAAAAAACAGCAATATTTTTTTTTCAATATATGATTAAATGATATGAACTCGTTAAGCAATTTACTTTGCCATCTTTCTTCATTGTTTACATTTGTTTAAACGCAGCAAAAAAGCGGGACTAAAATAAATATAACCAGTTGTATTGCCAGTAATTTGGAATTTCTTGATCTATTTTTGGTCGGATGTGGAATAAAAATAAATGTTAAATTCATATGGAAGGTCGGGTGCAGGTGAACATAAATTTTCATAGCTACCTGTATCATCTTGGTAGTTCTCGGTCACTTTTGGTCCAATGAAAAAAAGGGTTATGTTCTCCAGGAAGGTCTCGTGCAGGAAAACTTAACTAAGTATGATTTCTACAACGTTGTATATTAGTATATCATAGAGCTGGGAATTAAATTGATGTTATAAAAATTAACAAATAAAACTACATGTACTAATGATTTGTAAATGCATGTAGTTTGTAGCTATTGAGCGAGACAACATTTACATTTAATGAACTGTATATGAAATGAAGTTGAATTTTGTTTTGAATTTGTTAAAGTGAATTTAAATGTTCATGAAATTTTCAACAGTGCATTTTCATTTCAAAAAATCTATACCTGCTCAAACTAATCGGATTTTAAGAAAAAACATGTTTTTATAATAAATTACGTAAACAATTCTGTAAAGTAACAATATTTGTTGAAAAGTGGATCGATGTTTTCTCCGTAAGTGCTTTAAATCCATGCACTTGATAATGAAGGGAAAATATCTTTTCATCATGTGATATTGAATTAAAGGAGTCAAACGATATTTTAAAAAAAAAACCTTTGAAAAAGTAACATAAATGACTCAAGAGACATAGGTTTTACAATTTTGATAGAGGCATAACTTATAATGATACAATGTCGCTAGGATTGAGAACTCATTGCTTATTTTCAACCAAAATGCATCATCATCTGTAATCTGGACAGAAGTGAAGAAATATAGACAATCTACTTGTAACATGAAACTGATAAAATAAAAACCATGTCTGTAATATGTCAAAATGCATGACAACATACCACCAAGATCGATGACCATAAATTTTTTCCCTCGTTCAAAAGTTCGAAGAACCAGTTCGTGGTGTTCACCTCCACTTTCGAATTTATCAATAGGGAGCAGACGACAGTACAAGGCGGCAGCTTCCGGTTCATAGGCTAACATTAACTGGTCGTCATAAATACCAGCCTGTGCAATATTTAAATTAAGAATTTTTAACTAATTTGCTGAATCATACCAATGACTATTCATTAACAATATTAAACGGTTTAGATATACATTTGTTGTGGTTTTCTTTCTTGCTTTAGCTTTTTGTTTTATTTGGTGTTTTTTAATCATTATAGGGTTTTTAAATTAACTAATAGGGTTTTATCAATTTTGTAAATAAAAATGATTTAAAAATGATTATATTTTCTCCCAAACTACGTGAGTTATACCGTATTACATAATACTTTTTTGATTGATAATTGTTCTTACATAAATGTACAAAAACTTTTTTTTTCTCTACCTCTTTAGCAGCTTCTCTTGTGAACTGTTTAGCAGAATCTGTCCAAATGGCGGGAACTGTTATAACCCAGAAGATGCCGTCTGCTGTTATTGCGCCCAGCACGTTCTTTTCCTTTAGTTGTTGGAGTAAATGTTCTTTCAAATAACGAATGGCGTGAGAGATTATTGTCATATATGGCATCTTTTTACCATCCATGTCTTCTATTTCCATGTCCCTCTTCAATTCTGTAAAAAGATGGTCACTTCCGGTCTGATCTTTCGAAATATCCTAAAACGACAACTGTCATTTTGAACCTGATGTTTGCACAAATGAAAATAAACATAATGTATGAAAAGGAGAAAATTATGTATATTTAATCAAATATATTTCAGTGAACCCAATATTGTATATTTAAGAAAGGAGGGACAAATAATAATATGCCCTTTGTAATATGGTAATGTTAAGTCGTTAAATTCTGATACCAGTGCATTCATGAGTGGTAATGTTTTATACCAGAGCATTCATGAGTTTCATCTTGAAGCGACTGAAGTAATACCATCCCTCGTGTTCTTCTGCTTCAGTCAATTCTGCGTACTTGTCTTCCGCTTTGTATCCAAAGCTATGAAAAGTTTGGTCTGGATTTAATAGAACTGTGGTTGGCGCCTTATATGAGATTCCGCCAGACTGTTCAGACGACCAATTGTTTGTGTAAATCTTCAAAGGATTTGTTTGGAAATCGTCTTTGAACGAGAATGCATACCCTGAATACGTCGAACCAAAGTCAATGGCTGCTACAAGTAGTTTTTCTCGTTTTTGATCCCCACCTTTCATTAAATGTAAAATTAAATTAAATTAAATTTCTGCGTCTGCCATATTTTTTTCATAAGCCTCATTCCTTTAGATAAGCTATTAAAGGACATACTACCAAAAACTGTTGGAATTTCGATGGACATTAATTGCGCTCCGTTGTTAGCTGACTTGTCTTTATATTCATATGAAGCAGAATTTGTTCTAAAACTTCTATATGAGAAGAAATCACATGCTGTGTCTTTAACTCGACATTCAGATATCTCGACGATGTTTTCTCAATTAACACTAGTTACTTACAATCATATATTGAGTCGATATATCCCAGTGAACTCCAAATAAAAGACTCCACAGAGTCTGTCATATCTGTTTCAATTTTTTTCTGACTGTAGACTATAAAGACCATTTAACGACTTAATTCTATGACAAACAAGGTGACCTCAGCGCCATCCATCGCCACTTTCCTTATTAATGTTGTAATATTCCACCATCACCTGCATATATTGTTTAACGTCTCCCACGTTCTTCGATACTCAAGAACATGCTTTGCGTACGATCAATTTTTAAGCCGAGGCAGGCAACTAATAGATAAATTGATGTTACAAGGATTTCAACAACCTCGTGTAAAGTCAGCATTTCGTAAATTCTATGGTTATCGAGACAATGACCTTGTTTGCAAATAAACCAATATCATTGTGTCGTATTTTGGCTGGCGTGTTTCATCGACGACGTATTATCAATTAACAATAGTTACTTCCATTCATGTGTCGACTCGATATATCCTAGGAAAATTGAAATAAAAGATACCACAGAGTCTAACGCATCTGTTTCATATTGGAATATTTTACTAGAAAAAAAACGTTAATGGTAACCTAACAACAAAACTTTATGATAAACGTGATACTTATTGTCATCTTCCCTTATTTATGTAGAAATATACCCTTGTCACCTGCATATAGAGTTTATGTCTTCCCAGTTGATTCGATACTCAAGGGTATGTTCTACGAACGAACAATTTCTAAAACGAGGCAAGTTATTGACAGCAAGTTGATCAAACAAGGATATCAATAGTCTCTTTCAAAGTCAATATTTCACAAAAAATGATAGTTTAAATATCACCTTCGGAGTACTTGTGTGTACAATTAGAATGTTTTTCAACAAAATTAAATGACCAATGACAACTGTCTTTGATGTCAAAAGGCATGGACTTTAATATACCATGGGGAATATTAACCTACTGCGACACGAGACCTTGATTTATCACATCGAAGGACCGGTCTCTACGTCCCGCAATGGGAATCGAACCCGCGACGCTTATAAAAGAGACTCTCGTTATAACATTACTCTTGGACGTAAATTATCTGAAATACGATTCGAGGACATTTAAAAAAAATTATAGTAAATAATAATGTACTAGTACTTATTATATGAAGCATATGGAGGGTGTGACCGGCGACAGGGTATCTTACTCCTCCATGGCACTTGATCCCACCTCTGATGTTTATAAAGGTCCGTGTTTGCTCTGCTTTAATTTTGTATTGTTTCAAATGAATGGACTTTTGAGTTTGATTACTGTTTGTTATCTTCATATTTCATGTACATGTAATTATTCTGCTAAAATAGCTTGAAGATCAATTTGCGTAGATAATAAATATTATGTAGAAAACACTATATTGCAACAAGGATAGGTCTGAAAATTTGATTGGTTCTTAGTAAGTGACGTCATATCTACCATATACTTCCTAAATTATTGTTCTCTACGCTGTTTAAGTCTAAAAACATCGTTATAACGGTGGGATTGAACTTAGATTATCTTTTTGATATCTATTTTAAATATTTATTTAGAACACGACGGTATCAAACATACAGCATATTTTTGTCAAATTGAACTAGGTGTATCTTACAAGGTCATCAAAGTGAATATCAGTGCCGTATAAAATGTACTTCTCGGCAATTAGTTATTCCTTTGAATTAACTTAACTTTCTAAGGCAAAGATTAAATTGAAAAAGTCCAAAATTTTTAAATGTTTGATATTTAATTAACCATGTAAATACTTGATGCACAGTTTCTGCAATTAGTGTAAAAAGACACGTAAGAACGGGAGATTTCACTGTACTTGTTACCCCTTTTAAACTTTAATTTTCCTAATTCTAAGTGCACACTAGGAAATATGTTTTCGGTGAACCATGCTTTCATTTGCAAAGAACTGATTTTTTTTATGCAAACTTGTCTCGGGGTTATGAAATTTATAGGGTGCATTTGAGGAGTTGTCTTAAATAAAAGATTTTTTTATCTTGATAAAAAATAATTTAAATAGCTCACCTTTCTTGGGATTTCCTTTTCCAGCCATTATTTTGTAGAAAACTAAAATTATGTATTTGGAAAATTAGCTTAGAAAAGAACATAAACACATATTTTCAGAATCGAATTCATAGTGTACCAGTTAATATCAATACAAAAATTCAAATAAAAGAAAAAAATGTATACAGGTACAATTTGTAAAAATATAAATATTAGACAAGAAAAAGAAACAACTATACCAACCTCTTCCACTTCCTACAGAGAAGAAAATTTAAATGTGGTAAGGTAAACAAATTTGTATCCTGTCTGTCTATTTGACACATAAAAATATCTAAAGGTATTTTAAAAGCTTAAAGTTCCATGAATCTTGTCCAAGGTTCATATTTACTTTGAAATTACGATGAAATACTTCGGGATAGCTCCGTAGATTTGTCACGTAGTTTAAATTTATGAGCATTTTAAATTTTGAATTTTGAATTCTGTTGTTTTTCTTTAAAACATTAAACTGTTGACAACTTGTCGTTGAAACATGGCTGGTGGAGCGAGTTCGCTAGATGGTAAACTTCTAGTAGTCGCTATAGATTTTGGAACCGCATACAGTGGATATGCTTTTTCATTTCGGAGTGATTTTCGACTGGATCCACTAAAAATCGAAATCAACCACTGGTCGGGAGAGGGTGCCCAGAAATGTCGCCAAAGGCCCCGTCGTCGGTTCTCCTGAATCCAGACAAGTCCTTCCATTCCTTTGGTTATAAAGCAGAAGAGGAGTACGCCAGTTTGGTAGAGAATGAAAAACATCACGACTGGTATTTCTTTAGGAATATCAAAATGAGGCTACTCTACAAAGAAGTATGATTGATAATAATTATGAAAGGTTTTTTGATAAAAAAAAAAAAGTTAAAATTTCTTTATCATTAGAGAGGTAAGCAAGAAAACATCAATTTTCAGAAATAGGAACGTTATTATTCAAAATTAAACTCATTGCTTATGTTCAATTTTTACTAAAACGTGTCAAACTGTATTGATCTATGATCTATGTACATGAAGCAATATATATTGACTTGTTTGAAACAGAAAGTATCTCGATCAGACAGCATTGACGATGAATGTGGAAAGCCAGTGCAAGGATTGACGATTCTCAGTATGCTCATTCGCCATCTAAAGGAAGATCTCTACGGGCGACTAAGTTTGAGGGGAATACTTGTTCGAGATCAGGATATTTTATGGGTGTTGACAGTTCCTGCCATTTGGTCAGATGCCGCTAAACAGTTCACAAGGGAAGCTGCAGAACAGGTAGTAAAATTTTGAAAGCTATTTGGCTGTTAAATACTTCCTTTGAAAACTGTCACCTACTTACAATACATATTGTAAATTTGTTATATAAATCATCCCTCAGCATCAATTTTTACCTCAGAGTCGATGTTGGATGTAAAAAAAAACTCTCTCTCTCTCTCTCTCTCTCTCTCTCTCTCTCTCTCTCTCTCTCTCAAACACACACACATACGCAAACACCCTCTCTCATACACACACACACACACACACACACACACCCTCACACACACACACTGTAGCGAGTTAATATTGAATTAATTCTGTCAATTTGAAGGCAGGGATAAAGGCTGTTGATATGATATTTGTGTATGAACCGGAAGCAGCAGCCCTCTATTGTCGATTACAGAAATTGCATATCATAGATGATGCAACAGATCACACAGATTCAGATAACAAAACATCCCTTAAGGAACGAAAAATCTTGGTATTTGATGTAGGAGGTAAGAGAAATATAAATTTTTTGTGTAACTCTAAAGTCATGGGTTTTTGAGAGACAATGAAGTTTCCTTGAAAAGATCACCACTGTTTTTGACTTAAATGAAACTTCCTGGTCTTTCCAACGGTGTGCAAATATTTTAAATTAGGCATCTGTAAAAACGTTTTATCTACTTCCAGGTGGTACAACCGATATCAGCGTGATAGACATAAAGAGTGACAAAGAGATTAACATTGTAGAACAAGCTAGCGGAGGTCCCTTTGGAGGAACCGCCATCAATGAACGTTTTTGCAATTGGATGAGTGAAATATTTGGAGAAGAGAATATGAAGACATTTCAAACAAACAATAGATCAGATTATATGCAATTACTGAGAGACTTTGAACAAAAGAAGCGACCTATTGACCCAAAGGAAGACAAACCGTTATGCTTACAAATTCCACCATCCCTTAAAAAACTTGCAGAAAAATCATGGGATTGCAATTTGGAAAATTACTTCAAAAATCTTGGAAGTTTTCCCGATGTTCAGGTCAAAAAACGGGGGAAACTTTTCATATCTTCCTCGTTTTTATTGAAAAATTTCGTTTTACCTATTGCTAACAACGTCTTAGCAGAAATGGAGCGGATTCTCGCAAAGCATGGTGATATCAGCTGTGTGATAGCTGTGGGAGGAATAGCTCAATCCGCTGCCATGACTACAGAAATCCGAAAATATGCTAAAAATATACCTGTCTATGTTCCTTTTGATTCATCAGTTGCCGTTCTTAACGGAGCAGTGCTATATGGACATGAAAACAATGTGATAAAAGCACGTGTTTGTAGGTATTCTTACGGAATCCAAACCATGAGACTCTTTATAGAGGGAGACGACGACGAAAGTAAGAAAGTAAGGCAAGAAGGCGACACCTGGTGTAAACATTGCTTTAGATCACTCTACAATGCAGGTGATATGATCAAACTCGGTGA